ACAAACCACAAAGAAATCATAAAAAAACAATAACAATACACAAAACATTACAGGTCACCAAAACCAGGACCGTGACATGAACCATGTACGCTGGAACAACACTAAAAGTGAATAATGGAGAAATAATAAGTAGGACTTAGCTGTTCAGCCTTTGTAGTCTTTTAAGTTGTTCTATCCCTGAGCAATGTATTTATGGTAAATTATAATTGAGAACACATTCTACCATTTTATATCTGTGTCGTGTGATCATCTAATTAAAGCAGGTGTCTCAAACTCTTTCTCTCTTTAGGCCCATGTCACCCCTACTTGCGGCCTGTATGTTGACATGTAGAAATATAATGCAATTTGGTCCTTGAAGTTACTTTTTTTGTTAGGGACGATTTGTTTGTTGATGAGTGCAATATTAAAATAAGTTCTTTAAAAAGCAAAATAAATAAATAAATAAACAAATAAATAAATAATATGAAGGCAATTTGAGCAGAGAGTACAAACATGTTGACAGATTGACTGTGGTGGTTCAGTGAGAGTTATTTTTAAAGAAAACAAAAAAACTACAAGAAACATGGTCCTAAATATAACTAAAAAATCAAAAAAGGTTTTACTTATCCTGCAGTCCTACAGCAGAACCTATAATATGGCCTTGATTCCAAGTGTATTGTTATAATCCATTGGTTTATGCAAGCATGGCTCTACGGGGCAAGCCAAAAAAGAGGCAAATGTTAGCTAAAGTCACGTTATCCAGGGATAAAATTGAAAGTGCAGACTCCCAGTTGGCAGCAGTCTGCCACCTACTGGCTGCCAGCTTGTTGCAGGCTGTTTCTATTTATGCTTATTATACAGAACCTACCACAGGTTTTTCCAGGCAATAATCACACAGTTTTTAAGTTTGCTTTAATAGTTTATTAATATGCTATTAAATAGAACTAGACACCCAGTTTTGAGACCTTTGTTATCCAATTACATGAATTCCTGCATAATATTACTCAATTGTAACCACTATTGCTACTATGATATTACATCGCTCAAGATCAGGAAGGTGGAGCTCTCAGATGACGGAATATACAGATGTTTCCTCCCAGAGATACAGAGCATGCAGAGATCTGCAGATATCCGGCTGGTTGTTGGTGAGTTCTTCCAGGAAATGTTTAATATCTAACTCACTGTTGATGATGTCGCACTGAACTATTCTAGCTTTGACTTTAATGAGTAATTTAACATTATATAAAGTTCTTTTAAGCCTTCTTAGAGAAATTATTATTTGATACGTCATGTAGTATTTTATCTGCCTCTGTTATTAATTAAAAAACATTTTTTTTCTGAGTCAAACGTTGCTAAAACTGTGGTGATGACAACAGAGCTGTGAACCGGACCTCTGCAAACAGCAGTTGTGAATGAAAAGAACAATGTTAGAGGTAAAAATTATTCTTTACAAAGATCACAACAGTGAAGTGACATATGAACGATGATTTGTGCCCTGAACACACAGAGTTCCAGCTGTGCTGCCTCCTTTTACTTTAACTTCCAGGTTGATCTGTTAAACTTAGGAAGAGGTCAGAGGTCAAATGTGATATGATAGTTTAAATCTTTATATTTTATAAATGTTGACATTATACGGCGCACTTTTAAGCCAGGTAGTTTCTAGGTTTTAAGGCTTTTTGTCAATTTTCCACCAACAAATCATAAAGTTGAATTTGGTGGATGTAAAACAGATTTTAATTGAATTGTTATAACATGATCCTGCTCTACAGCCTACAGAGTTTTAATCAGAATACGTTCAAAACTTTTAGAGCTGTTGTGTTTACAGAGAGAATGAAGTGCAAATGCTACCAACAACATAAGCTCCTTATTGAAGGTGATAAGAAACTGCTGAAACTATTTTGAGCTTATCTTTGTTTTACACATGATCTGTACTGATCTGATTGATGAAATATATGCAATTAAAGGCAACTGTCCCTGTGTTCATAGTGCTCAGTGTTTATCTAATAGATAGAACACTAGAAACTGATCAGACAGGAATGTCAGGTTTGCAGTGACTCATTAGTTCCTGCTTCCTGCTCAGCTTCAGTGACTCATTTCACTTTGACAGTGAAAGTTTGGATCACTGTGTCATAGTCTGGAGTCTTCATCTGTGGTAAGTCGTTCTCTTTTATTTGTTTCTTTGGTTTGTGGGGTTTGTGTGTGTGTGTGTCTGTGTGTGTGTGTGTTTGTTTTTGAGACAGGGAACAAACAAACAAGAACTTTATAACAAAACACTAAAATTTGTTGTGAAAAACTATGGCATTATTTTTTTGCCACTATTCTGAGCACATGTAAAAAAAAAAAAATGAGAGCACGTGAAAAGAATTTGCAAGTACAAGTGTTGCATTTTGAGGAGAAATTTATTTTGAAAGAAGAAAAGCTAAACTTGAGCGAACAAAATTCATTGCTGCATGCAAAAAAATTAATTTC